CCAAGTACTAATTAAGTCGCATTTTCCTTCAACAATCCATACTTCAGAACAGGATATTAGCACTAACCTAAGATATGATTTAATGTATTAGGAATGAAATATGAAAATGTTTTAATTTGTTCTTTGTTGAAGATATTTTGGTAACAAAGATCCAGGGCAGAGTTAGATGATGCTCATCTCTCTCTGTGGAGTAACAGTTGCCAGACGCCGCCATCCTCGCATCTCCTTTCTTCTCAATTTAGCATCAAATCAATGTTGCCCTTTCTTTCGTAATTATTATTTCTCTTATTACTCACAGTCCCTTAACAATTCTCACACACATTTATAGCTGTGTTTGACATCAAACAAAGTTTTTTGAGTGATGCCTGCCATTGTTTTGGAGACGAACGCGCGTTCAAACATTCACGTTCCCGGCGTCCGCTTCCTTCCGATCAATAAATTCCCCTCATTCCCCCCTCCCCCACACTGTTCCCCAACACTGTTTCTCATGTTCCTTCTTCACTGTCTCACCCAAACGGTTCTCCCCCTCTGCCCCCATACTTTTACTCCTCCCCCACACTGTTCCCCACTCCGCCCCCTATACTGTTGTTTCCCCCCCTTCCCCACTGTTACCTCACTCCGTTCCCACATCTGTTACGGTTGGGATCAGCTGCTGCGGTTGGGGTCAGCTGCTACGGTTGGGATCAGCTGGTACGGTTGGGATCCTGTCTCTTATACACATCTAGATGTGTATAAGAGACGTTATGACTATGAGAACATGTCATGGTTATGACTATGAGAACATGTCATAGTTATGACTATGAGAACATGTCATATGATGTTATAATATTTCTATCATTATATCATTAATCACTGTTATCTGTATATAAGCATCGTGGTTAATTACAATGATAGTTCTTTCAACATTGGAATAACATTATGTTCATCATGCTGATGATCTGATAATAATAAGTTGAATTATGATCTTAAATATTGTCCTGTCTCCGGATAATTCGATTAATTAATGTCTTATTCGCGTTAATTTTGTATTTGTCTTCGAACCAATTTGCTCATTATCACTTGCGTGTTATTTAATTGATTAATTCATGATTATCCGCATTAATTATATAATTAATATCTGACTCATCGATTTATTTTTAAAAGAACATCTGTCATTGCATCAATTCATGAACAAATTAATTATTTAACTACTATGTAATTAATTTAATCATTAATTACTTAATTACCTTGTATTATTTTTGTAACTTCCACCCATTAAATTTATTTCACTCTTTGAATTATTTTATGTAAATTTAATTGATTTATTGGAACATAATTAATAACTTAAGGCCCGCATCCATGATACCTATTAATCTCATTACAGATTTAATTTCATTTATGAAATACGGCATTATTTCAACTAATTTAATTCAAATAATCATCTTATAACACAGCATCTAATTAAGTGTAATTTAATTCTTGTAACATTTCTCTCGCAAATTTTAAATGTTTATACATATGATAAATTAGATAGAATAAATTTATACGAGAACTACGAACGCACAATATGACTTAGATCAGAAAATCGTGCATGAAAGATTAAAATTTAATACAGTGAACAAATTGTTCAAGTTTTCACGTGTATGGTGGCTTAAATTTGTAATAATTTTGTCGCACTTCGGTTCCGGAAAAACATCCTTATTTTTCCTTAATTGTATATGGTAGTAACTCAACAACATTTTGTCTTAATTTAAACAGAAAAAAAATCACGCCAGCCCGACATGNTTGGGATCAGCTGCTACGGTTGGGATCAGCTGCTGCGGTTGGGATCAGCTGCTACGGTTGGGATCAGCTGGTACGGTTGGGATCAGCTGGTACGGTTGGGATCAGCTGCTACGGCTGGGATCAGCTGCTACGGTTGGGATCAGCTGGTACGGTTGGGACCAGCTGGGGAGTCTCACTGAATTTGTGGGCTTCACAGCCCCAGGATTGGGGAGCAGATGGCCTTCCCTTTATGGGGAATATTACACTGAGAGAAATAATGGGTTAGCATGACCCTCTAATGGGCAAGTGTGTCAAAAAAGTGCATCGCTAATGGAACGCAGTTTTTTAATGTTCTCTCAGCGCAATTTTATTGATAATAATATCTGGATATGATATTAATATCAAGATATTATTTATATTATTATTATTATACTGTATTTAAATTAACGTCACCTCGTTTATATAAATTTTATTCATAATAAATGTTAGAGATATATTATTTAAGTTATGTGTTAATATATTAGTTTTAACCATGAAAATATATCAATTTCTATCACAATTCCCTAACTTTACTTAAAAAATTATTTACATTTTTAGCAATCATTATAAATAAGTTACATTTCCAGTCAACAAAATGTAAATAATTTGATATATACAATACAATAATTATCAATAATACAATACAATACAATACAATAATTTGATTTGATATTTCCATTTGGCATGGCAGTGGTAGCTGTACAATAAAAAAAATGAAGAGAACTTGTCCAAATATCGGTGCACTTCTTGCCATTGAATGTGCCATCCTGACCCACATTTGCCCTGCAAAAAGTGTGTATACAAGCAAAAAGTTAGTCAATATTTAGACAACATGATACATTCATTGTTCTAGGTGTAGTTTCGTGGCTGGAAGCTTTTACCGTTATTTTTTTTCACCGTTATAACGTGTTAACAACGTCGTCAAAATCAACAACATTCATCGCAGTTCGTTATAAACACGACACGAATCTCGGCAGGCGTTCGTGTCGAGCCTATATCGACGTCGCATAGCAGGCCTATATGGCAACCTAGGCCTATATGGGATAGGCTTCCTGATTTTTCTGGTCCTTTACCACGCGAATCTCTTGCCCCATGTCTGGATAATAATCAGACATCTATGCATGTCTTCCGTCCCTAGCCGGTCTGATTAATTTATTAATCAGAAATCGCCATTAGTTAGTTTATTAAACTGATTAGTTTATTAATCATAAATTTTCATTCTCTCGTCGCTGTATGGTAATCAGACTCCGTTACAGCATTCGTCCCAAGCTTGTCTGATTAATTTATTAATCGGAAATCGTAATTTTTCTCATCACTGCACTATGATCAGATCACTAAAGCACTAAATCTCTCATCAAAAGCTTGTGTGAAAAAGTACATTTTTTGTATAGTCTCGCTCTTTTCCTTGAGTATAATTTTAATTAATAATAAATAATATGAGTCCATTTCGTTACTTTGTCTCGGATTAAAAAAGAAAATTTTTCGACTGTCTCCAGCTTCTCTATTGACCGTTCAAAGGCCTTTTTTTTATGGCCATATGATTTTTATCCAATTATTTACTTTATTATCCTCGGGTCTTACCTTCAATTATTGGTCTTCCTTTTCCCTGAGCCATCGTATGGTCATATCACATTCCTCCTCTTACCCTCCTTTATTTTTCTTCATCTTCTCACACAATTTTATAATCAGAGCTCTCTTTCTCTTTGTTCCCAGCCTACTCCTTTTACGCGGTTTATTTCTCTCCATCTTTCCCCTCATAATCTTCTATATAATCATGGAACGTTATCGTCCCCAGCTCTTCCCCCACCCTCCCAGTTTCCCTCCCCCTGTCTCCACTAAACAATAATATAATCATGGAACGTTCTCGTCCCCAGCTCTTCCCCCACCCTCCCAGTTCCCCTTCCACTGTCTCCACTAAACAATAATATAATCATGGAACATTCTCTTGGAACGTTCTCGTCCTCAGCTCTTCCCCCACCCTCCCCGTTCTACTCCCCCTGTCTCCACTAAACATTAATATAATCATGGAACGTTCTCGTCCCCAGCTCTTCCCTAACCCTCCCTAATTTCCCCAGCTCCTCTGAACGCTGCTAGGGACGCCGTCGCCATGGCAACAACAAGACGCTATCCCGTATCGACGCAACGACCGCAGCGTTATATATATAGGAGCCTGTTTTAATAGCTTTTCTTTACTAGTTTCTGTATTCAGGCTTTATTCATGCCATGAATGGCTAGTGAGTCTCCTGGCCTCACAAGACGGTGGGCAGCAAGGGTAGTGTAGTCGGAAAAAAATGCATGGGTAATATTGTTCAAAAAGTGACTCATTTTCTCACCCACGGCACGTAGCAGAGAGAGCGGACGTAGCACTGATAAGCCTTATCAGGTACACTGATACTTGGGTCCCGTAAAAAATAATTCAAGTATTGGGAGGCACTTAAATCCTGGTCGTAATTACCGTAGATTTTTGTGATATTTTCATCAACGGTCATTTATTCCCATTATTTTAATAAAATATTGAATTGTACGTTATTATTCCTAATAAATATGATTTTTAGTTGTAAATTTGGTGATTATTTTGATGAATAATACAGGTTTTGTATTCTATTTGTAGTTGTTTTGTTGATGACGATACTTCTTTGTTTAATTAATAATTATTTAAATTAAACTACTATCAAACAAATCTAAATAATCACAATCAAGTTATTATATTTTTCAAATGTCCATTAGTTTGACATTCATGATTCATGAATAAAGGGTAAAATAATTGTTTTTTTAAAGTAATTTCCACCAACAAGCTTCACTATATGATTATCGTAATTTATAATACATTTATTGTAAATTCACTGTAACGTATAAAATTTTCAACCCAGATTCGGGATTTAAAAAAAAAAACAAAAATAAAATAATAAAATAAAATGTTTAACACAGATTAATAAAAAATATAAAATTTTCAACCCAGATTCTGGGTTTTAATGAGGAAAACCCGTTTGAGCTAAAAGAAATTATAAAGCTTCTCGTAATGGTTAAGGAGAAATGAACCCCGACTTGAGGTTCTGCACTAAAGTGAACCCTGTTTTAGGGTTTAAAATATAAAAAAAACTTCCCCGAATTTTAGGGTTGAGTCAGCCGTTAGCTGTTTACTGTTTACTGTTAAGCTAGAAGCTGTTTACTGTTTACTGTTGAGGTAAAAGCTGTTTACTCGCGCCGCCTAGGTTGCTCTAACATANCTCTATTCTGCTGCTATTCTGGTGGAATTCTGCCTCTATTCTGCTGCTATTCTGGTGGAATTCTGCCTCTATTCTGCTGCTATTCTGGTGGAATTCTGCCTCTATTCTGCTGCTATTCTGGTGGAATTCTGCCTCTATTCTGCTGCTATTCTGGTGGAATTCTGCCTCTATTCTGCTGCTATTCTGGTGGAATTCTGCCTCTATTCTGCTGCTATTCTGGTGGAATTCTGCCTCTATTCTGCTGCTATTCTGGTGGAATTCTGCCTCTATTCTGCTGCTATTCTGGTGGAATTCTGCCTCTATTCTGCTGCTATTCTGGTGGAATTCTGCCTCTATTCTGCTGCTATTCTGGTGGAATTCTGCCTCTATTCTGCTGCTATTCTGGTGGAATTCTGCCTCTATTCTGCTGCTATTCTGGTGGAATTCTGCCTCTATTCTGCTGCTATTCTGGTGGAATTCTGCCTCTATTCTGCTGCTATTCTGGTGGAATTCTGCCTCTATTCTGCTGCTATTCTGGTGGAATTCTGCCTCTATTCTGCTGCTATTCTGGTGGAATTCTGCCTCTATTCTGCTGCTATTCTGGTGGAATTCTGCCTCTATTCTGCTGCTATTCTGGTGGAATTCTGCCTCTATTCTGCTGCTATTCTGGTGGTATTCTGCCTCTATTCTGCTGCTATTCTGGTGGTATTCTGCCTCTATTCTGCTGCTATTCTGGTGGTATTCTGCCTCTATTCTGCTGCTACTATGGTGGTATTCTGCCTCTATTCTGCTGCTACTATGGTGGTATACTACCTCTATTCTGCTGCTACTATGGTGGTATTCTACTTCTATTCTGCTTCTATTCTGGTAGAATTCTTCCTCTATTCTGCTGCTATTCTGGTGGTATTCTACCTCTATTCTGCTGCTATTGTGGTGGTATACTACCTCTATTCTGCTGCTATTCTGGTGGTATTCTACTTCTATTCTGCTTCTATTCTGGTAGAATTCTGCCTCTATTCTGCTGCTATTCTGGTGGTATTCTACCTCTATTCTGCAGCAATTCTGGTGGTATTCTACTTCTATTCTGCTTCTATTCTGCCGGTATTGTGCTGCTATTATGTTGGTATTCCACTGGTATTCTGTTGGAATTCTGCTGCCATTATGCTGGAATTTTGTTGGTATTCTGTTTTTATTTCCCTGCCATTCTGCTGGTATTCTGCCGCCATTCTGTTGCTCCTCCGCGAGTCTTGTGAGAGAATAATAGCAGGATAGCGTCGTATCCCAGGTTTCACGTTCCTTTATTCCAATATTAAATCCACACAAAATTTTTCCCGCAAGCCACGTGGGAAATTTTTTAATCTTTTATTTGCTGTCCAGGCATCAGTGAAATATTTCTTCTGCAAATTTTCTGAATTTTTGCGAATCCTTTTATTCATCGAACTAAATTTAAGAAAAATTTTTGACCAAAAAAATTCGAAATGAAGAATAGAAAATTGTGAACTTGAACAAATGATCGAAGAGTATTAATAAAAAAATTATTTAATTATCGTTACAATTATGCCAATATTAAAAGTTTGACATTTTGCAGGCATCGAGACGATCAAGAATATAGAAGAATAATTTTTACTGGAAAATATTTTAAATATATTTATTGTTAAAAAATTTCAAATGTAGCAATTGAATGCGGAAAATAGAAAAATTTATTATAAAAAGACACTTTAAATATATAAAGACAGCACGTAGATCGAAAAATTCAACACAAAAAGCGCTTCATTACTACAATTAAAATAAGACACGAATAAAAATTCTAAATATTATTTTTATAACGGTAGAATTAAACAAAAATATATTCAAATAAAGTATTTCTCACCATTAGTTGAGAATGATGCAAATAACCTGTCGCAACGCAGCTCCGTGGCCTACGGAAATGGGCCCAATTTTGTCAAATTGGGGATGCAGCGGCCAATTTGGTGTTCCTATTAGCTCCATGCAGTTCATATTTGCTCCATGAAGTTTCTATTTGCTCCATGCAGTTCCTATTTGCTCCATGCAGTTCCTGTTTGCTCCATGCAGTTCCTGTTTGCTCCAATTTGCGCGTGTTTGCTCCCCTGCTCCAGCATGGAGATTCTACTCAGCAAGAATATTTCAAAATTTTCAATTTTCATGCGATTTTCATAGATGAATATAAAATATTATATTGTACTTATAATATATATTATTATTATATATTATATATTATTATTTATATAAAATATAAATAATATTCAATATACCTCCTATATTGTATTTTAATTCTGGTATTGCTTATAACATAATATCAATATTATTCAGCATTGATATCTCTGATTATATCCGATATTGTATTTTATTTCGAGTATTGCATATAACATAGTATTGATATCTCTGATAATCTTCTATATTGTATTTTAATTCGAGTATTGCATATAACATAATATCAATATTATTCAGTATTGCTATCTCTGGTAATCTCTGATACAGTATTTTAACGCGGGTCTGACGCCCATGCAATATCGGGTCCAATAAACGCTGTGAAATCTCTGACGCATTGCCGTTACTGGAGAGAACTTGAGAGCTGCTCAAGCGCTCAGAGATCTTGAGAGCTTCTCAAGCGCTCAGAGATCTTGAGAGCTTCTCAAGCGCTCAGAGATCTTGAGTTTGAGTTGAAAAAACGGGCTCTACGGCGAAGTGAGTTGAAACAAGAGCGCTAGTGTAAAGGGAGTTGAAACAAGAGCACTACTGTAAAGTGAGTTGAAACAAGAGCGCTACTGTAAAGTGAGTTGAAACAAGAGCGCTACTGTAAAGTGAGTTGAAACAAGAGCGCTACTGTAAAGTGAGTTGAAACAAGAGCGTTACTGAAAAGTGAGTTGAAACAAGAGCGTTACTGAAAAGTGAATTGAAACAGGAGCGTTGCTGTAAAGTGAGTTGAAACAAGAGCTTTACTGTAAAGTGAGTTGAAACAAAAGCTTTACTGTAAAGTGAGTTGAAAAATGGAACTATTGTTCTGTGAAATGAAAAAAAGGACGAAATGACAAATCAAGCGTGTAGGGCCGCGGCTGTCGATGGCCCGTAACTGCTAACTTCATGAGAACTTCTGTCCCTGCTATACGCATTCCCATTCCCTGCTATACGCACTCTCATTCCCTGCTATACGCACTCTCATTCCCTGCTATACGCATTCCCATTCCCTGCTATACGCACTCTCATTCCCTGCTATACGCACTCCCATTCCCTGCTATACGCACTCCCGTTCCCTGCTATACGCACTCCCATTCCCTGCTATACGCACTCCCATTCCCTGCTATACGCACTCCCATTCCCTGCTATACGCACTCCCATTCCCTGCTATACGCACTCCCATTCCCTGCTATACGCACTCCCATTCCCTGCTATACGCACTCCCATTCCCTGCTATACGCACTCCCATTCCCTGCTATACGCACTCCCATTCCCTGCTATACGCACTCCCATTCCCTGCTATACGCACTCCCATTCCCTGCTATACGCACTCCCATTCCCTGCTATACGCACTCCCATTCCCTGCTATACGCACTCCCATTCCCTGCTATACGCACTCCCATTCCCTGCTATACGCACTCCCATTCCCTGCTATACGCACTCCCATTCCCTGCTATACGCACTCCCATTCCCTGCTATACGCACTCCCATTCCCTGCTATACGCACTCCCATTCCCTGCTATACGCACTCCCATTCCCTGCTATACGCACTCCCATTCCCTGCTATACGCACTCCCATTCCCTGCTATACGCACTCCCATNATATATAGCAGCAGCTGTACACCTGCGTATATATAGCAGCAGCTGTACACCTGCGTATATATAGCAGCAGCTGTACACCTGCGTATATATAGCAGCAGCTGTACGCCTGCGTATATATAGCAGCAGCTGTACTCCTGCGTATATATAGTAGTAGCTGTACGCCTGCGTATATATAGCAGCAGCTGTGCACCTGCGTATATATAGCAGCAGCTGTACACCTGCGTATATATAGCAGCAGCTGTATACCTGTGTATATATAGCAGTAGCTGTACGCCTGCGTATATATAGCAGCAGCTGTACTCCTGCGTATATATAGCAGCAGCTGTACACCTGCGTATATATAGCAGCAGCTGTATACCTGCGTATATATTGCAGCAGCTGTACACCTTCGTATATATAGCAGCAGCTGTACACCTGCGTATATATAGCAGCAGGTGCGCGTATCGCTGCTGCGGCAACAGCTGCTTCGTTTTTTTCTGTCACCTGTCGTTTTCTTCACTTACATTCCTACATTTCCCGACCCAGCTAATAATTATGGCCGATTTATCACCGGCTGCATATTAGTTCACAATTAGTATACTCGGGCTAATTATTTAATTTGTATTCATGTGATCCGTTTGAATACTCGTATGTTCCTTATAATTGTGTAGTTTTAGCATTAATTATACAGTTTCTGTGTAGGAAAAAATGTAGCGTCCAGCACACTTCATGAATCTACTTCTCTTGTGCCAAGTTATTTTTTTTAATTTATAGGATGGTTATAGGTTAATTTATAGGATTTTTATTTAGTTAATTTATGGGATTTATGGGACTTAATTAATTATTTATTTGACGTCTCACTTAATTAATTATTCATTAACGCCTCAATTATTCACGTGTCAATATTTTGAGTAGAAACATAGCAGTGGAAATTAATTGAAAATTTATTTCCCTCAGTGGTAAAACTAATGATATGTCTGCAAATTTCGTATTTTCTTCATAATAGAACATTGGTACAGTAAAGCGTTTATGATTATTTTACAATGTAATCACAACTTCTTACAACATCTTCAAATGAATTATTTTCAGCAATGAATATTTTGAACGATCAATCTTCTTCAACAATAAATTTTTCCTCCTTGATTTTTAGCAATGGTTATAATGATATCCTATATTGTATTATGGTATANTGTAAAATTCTATGAAATTTATTTAAAACTTCAATTTTGTCAATATGGCTGTAAAATATTTTTATGCCATCGATAAACCAAAAAATTTTCAAATTAGTAAACCTATATTTAAATTTCTTTAGAATAAAATTTAATATTTGTGAATTATTTATTACATATAATCAAAATCTTCACTTAAACTTTGACCTGAACCCAGCCCTTACGTGAAATTCTGCATACAAAAAAATTTAACCTGAGTAATCAAATTGCAAGACAATTTATTTCTATAGTTTTTTAACGGCCGCATAGGAGAGAGCGTCTCGCGCTCGATTTTTTTCGAAATCTCGGCTCTGTTTTTTTATGAAAAAAATCCACTTTTAATGGAACTCGAAGATGCAATTGCAATTTCAAGATTTGGTCAACGTTAAGAAACCGCACACATAAGAATAAATGTCTCAAATTGTCTCAATAGTGGCCCACTTTCTTACCCACACCGTGATCAGACAACGCACGTAGCACTGATACGCACCTTTTCTCGGTCAAACTGGGTCAGGGTGACCCACAAGAATAAAAAGTGAATCGCTATCTGGAAATGACGCATCCATTATTTTGAGTGCGAGCTCCGGCGGTTAGCATGCAAAATTGCCTTCAATTATGGGAATCTGGAATGGGTTTGGGAATTGGAACGCCGTTCCAGATGAGGGAAGGTGGATTGGTTATTGACATTAGACATGATCATGTCTATGACCGATATCATGTCCATGTAAGACTAAAATTAAATCAAGTCACATATTTAAGTTTAATAGACTTTCAATTATTAAAACTGAGATTAAGAAACTTGAAAAATCGTGTTCAAGTTCCATTTACTCTATTATTAGTTGTAAATATCCTTTTCAATGTACAAAAAATTAAAGTGAACAAAAGGAAATTTTTCCTCCCGAAATTATTAAATCAAATAGACTGTGACTATAAGAATTTTTAAAAATGTAAATGACTAAAACTCTTCAGAAAAATCATTAGAGTAACTAAAATGGCGGCCGTCTTCCCCAGAGGAAGTAATCTCAACTTGAGAGGTTAATTTGGTGCAGCAATTGTGGTGGGGAATGAGAGGAATTATTAATTCCTGCGCTCTGATGGGAGTGAATATTAGGCCTATACCTGCACTATAGGCCTATACCTGCTCTATAGGCCTATACCTGCTCTATAGGCCTATACCTGCTCTATAGGCCTATACTTCTTCAAGTCGATTTCTCGTGTATTATTTGTGTGGTACTCTGATAATTTGTTCCTGCTACATGTCTGGCATTGTTACTTGTACTGCTATGGTGGAATTGCATACGTAGCCCTCAGAATGATGATTGCAAGAAGCAATATCAGTAAATCCAAAAGCATCGGATTTGAAATTAGAGAATTTTTTTATCGATTTCATTCTAAAAGTGGCCATCGTTGGCTCAACGATGCGCCACCGGTGCCAATGTCTAGTTTTTGCTGAAGAAGAGCTATGGGTAGGGTGGCTATGGGCAGGTTATAGGTGGCGGATAGTTTTGCCTTTTGCCGGGCAAAACTGGGTCACGATGACCCACACAAGGGCAAAGAAGTGCGTCGCTATTCGAACAAAGTTTCTTCATTTTTTTTGGGTGTGTGTTGCCCAAAAGCCACACAGATGCAGTTTAATTTATTTTTTTAATGTTTTCCTAAGTATCCACGCAATAATTATTTCTATATGTGATACGCGCACTCAGGGGAATGAATGGGCCAAATTGCCCAAATAGTGACACAATTTCTTAACAGCACGAGCAGAGAGCAGACGTAGCACTGATGTGTGCTCCTGCCAGGCCGAACTGGATTAGGA